CTCCTGTGTTGGAACCCATTATTATTTCTTTATACAAGCACTTTACACATATACCTATAGCCCTCCCCCCACCTAACCAAAACTTCTGGATCCGCCCCTGCGACTGTACGCATGCGCCAACTAAGACAAGCCAAGATTTTGCTAAGATGGTTTGATAAATCATAAAATATATTTTCTATAGGGACATCTTAACTTTTTTTTTACTTAAAACATTTGCTAATCTGAGATTGTCTGGGCCCAGTAGCACATGTTGCATTTTGTTTAAGTTGAAACGCAACCAGCCTTTCTTATGTAGCACCCCACTCACCCCCTCCCCCTAGTCCAAGTTACCATAACATGTAAACTAACATCAACTCCCTCGTCCAACTACACGACATTAATTTGCCGACCTAAACAAATATATTTTGATATCCAATCCACTTGTGGTAAAAAATCACATGGGCAATTCTGTACCGTAACATTTTTCCCCATGAACCTCACCCCAGGGATTTTATTCCGGGACTCTAAACAAGGCTCTAGGCATCCCCTTGACAGGAAAACAAATTTGTCATTTAATTGTAAGTTTGTAACCTGCTTAAATATAATTATTCAGTTATGGAATTAAATTGTTTATATTTCAGCTCAAAACAGACAGTGTATATTTAAATTGGACCTCAATGGAATTGGGCTGGACTGCGGCCAAATGGGCGTTCCTGATGTTCATTACGGTAATTTTTACTTTTCTTGATCTCAATTCATTTGTTAGCTTGTTTATTCATGTTGAGCATCGAATAAATCAATCAATCAAAAAATATTATGTCATGAAAACGTTGTGTATGAAGATTATATAGTACTATGTTTATTGTTTGAAAATACTGTATTTATGAATCTATATATTCATTTCTATCGAATAGTATACTTTTTATAAATTTTATTTACCCATGACAATCGAAATTCTAACCAAATTTGTTTGCGCTATTGCGATCTACTAGACCTACCCAATGCCATGTGTTTAATAATCCTCACATCATTACGTCCCGTATGATGATATTATCAATAATTAATATTTAATATGATGATGCTGATATAAGAATTGTGAAGTACGGTGCTATTATGTTGTATCAGTAGCATTTTCAATTGCGATAACTGAATACGACAATCTTCAGGATGGGGTGATCCCCTGGGGGCATCCGGTCTGCCCCTCCCCACCCTAAACTTTTAAAATGGTAAAAAATTGAAGAAAAAAAAAGAAAATTACATTCAAATTTAAAATCTGAGAGTGCCATTTCTGGCCATCTAGAGGTGTTATAATCGAAAAGTTTCTTACCTCAGCCCCAACCATGGTGGGGCTGAGCTGGTGGGAACCCTTCATATTTCAAGCCTACGGGTTCTGCCTATATTTTTATTTATATATTATGTTTTGATGATACTCCGTTATAATTCTGTCTCTGTTTCCTAATCTTTTCTCAATATTTTTCTATTCCAGTGATGAAGAAGCTACAACTATCAAGAAAGAATGTCCGGACTTAATCGTGAAAAGGCAACAGATCATACCAATTATTCATGGATAGCCAAAAATTGTGTCACTTCCTGCAAAAGTTCTGGATATAAAATTAATTAAAATATAGAGTAAATTTGATTTTATAAAATGTTTTCCTCTGCATAATCTCAAAAATAATCTTAGTAATATGTAGTAATTCTTGTAGGCTTTATGTTTATTAATATTGTACTATTACTACTAATATTTATCTTATTAATAGAGAAAGTAACCCGTTTGTTGTAAAGAATATAGACATGTAATAGAATAGATAACATTTTGAGGATTAAAATCAGATTTAGGCCTATTGATTTTTGCCGGATGTACATACAGTAATAGGCCTACAGTATATATATATATAAAATGTATATCACAACTTGATTTCAGTGCTTGAAAATAAATATGAAATGGAAGTGTGCATTTCTTATCTTATTTAATGTCTATGTTTACTGTGATAAATTCATTAGCTAAAATATCATTATTTAAGCTTAAATAAAAGTAAAGAATTGCTTCATCAATATGTGCTACTTTATTAAACTAGCAATTCTTTCGAGGTCGCCCTCAACAAAAACATAAAACTGGAAATGACGTGTTGTCATGCATAATCATGATTATTCAGTGAACCTGCTCTAATTAGACTACAATAGAACTGAGCTAAAACGTTTTATTGTGTCTAATGAGCACATGTGTTAATGAATATGCATGAGCTGTAGCCTAGCAACCGACGTCATTTCCTGTTTTGTAAAATTTGACAGCACCTTGCTCTGAAAACTTTCGTAATTTGTTGGTGTCACGTGAATATAATTGGAAAGAGTGTTTATAAGATATAGTAGCCTGTAATAGTGCTATATCTGAATCGAAGTGATTACAATATATTTAATTCGATTATATTCTGATAAATTATCATGAAATATATAATATTATTATTAATGCAATTACGGAAAAGGAAGTACACACAATGATGTATTATAAATTACACTACAGATTACTTTTATTTCTTACAACTATATAAACGTAATATAAATAGAATATAGATTCTAGTTTTATATAATATATAATGCTTAGGCCTAATTATATTTCAGTATGTAATATCGTTCGAGAATTACCTGTTCGTTTTATAAGAAACATAATTGGAAAATTTGATTTAATTCCGGTGATCCAGAGGTGACGGAACTAGGGGGTGCTGTGTTATGGAGAGTAATGTGTGACCGGAAATGGTCTGCAGTCAATTGGTTGTTACCTGCGCCAGTGATGTTGGAGTATATAGTACAACAATATGAAACTATTATGTAGGCCTAATGAATGAATAAAGTTCGGAGTTTGTCGGGTAGTGAAATGGTTATTTCACATTTTAAGTGCTCCCTAAATTCATAAGTGTAAGCTAAATTACGGTGATTAATTTAATTAGCGAAGATATGGAGACAATTATTTCGAATCCCTCTTTCCAAGAGAGGATGCAAATGCTTTGTGAAAATGAGTACGCTGCGGTACTCATTTTCACAAAGAAATACACACAACTGGTTAGCTAACAATTATGTCAATGTTACATGAACACCTGGGAAGTAAGGTGCAATCACTTTGTTACCTAGCAAACGTCTGTACTGTATGGGGGAGGGGCTCCTGATGTACTGTGTAGCGGGGGACGGTGAGGCATAAGACTAGGCCTAGGCCTAACTAAGACAATGGAATTATATGTGATAGAAAGTACACTTTCGGAAGAAATAAATTAAAATAAGAAAAAAAAAATAACTAAGAATAATTCATTTGCAGAGGTACCTTATTTAAGTATTATACAATGCATCTAACAATGTGGCTCTTGTAGCCCTGGCTTGGGCAAGGCATCCATGTGCAAAGCAGTGGTGTTTGTTTATCCATGAAAAAAGCACGCCGGGAAAGTTTGCCTTACCAGGAAAAGGTGACGTATCTACCTTATGACGTATGCATGCTAACTAACGTGAGTGTGACGTCACCAAAAAATTAATATTTTCTATCATAACCAAAATATTAAACTACAAAGTTTCTGGGCGTAAATTCCCTTAATATGAATGAAGGGTTGCTCAATCTCCTTGCCATACAAATTACAGCTCCTACTGACGTCTCAGTCGAGAAATACGGGTAGCTGAAGTTTTTCTCAAAAATCTGACTACAAAACTATATCCAAATTTCACGTTCCACTTTTGAGCCCGAGTTGTGCTTCGCACTCGCCGCTGACGGCGGCGTTCCGGGAACCCTGCGTCCAGTGGTATAAATCCTAATAAACATCAGCGCGCGATTATTTGTAGAATTAAGACCACACAAATTGCTATTGATAGCATCTTGTGTTCTGGCAACTTCATACACATTGTGTTCCGCTGACAATAATTGTACATCGACTTCGCATTTATTGATGGATCGGTAGATTTGACCTGAGACACTGAAAAAATTAGATTGAACTGGTGAGAAATACATTCAAACTAGGCCTTTTTTCATTTTGGCATCTGTGTTAAGTAGGCCTATTTAATTATTAACACTATTAGATTAAAAAAACACTTTTTGGAAACTTTATGACATTCATACTTTGATGTGGTATAGGAATACAAATTCAGAAAAAATAAAATTGATTGTTTTATTGATTTAATACATTATGTAAAGTGTACATGTTAATAAGCGTTATTTTAATATGAGTAGGTGAGTACGCTCCCCAACATCCCACCCCAAATCGAAAAAGTTTGAAAACGATCATATATTTGTGTTTATTTGTGTTTTGCTGTTTTTGTCGAAATTGGACGAATATTTTACCCTGCTGTTTTCCGGTTGTTTTGTGTTCTGCACCATAAGGACTCTGTGAATGGTTAATCACCACAAAACAGCTTTGAAAAAGTTAACTCCGTTTTAGTTTTCAGCTTCCGCATGTTCAACATCCAGAGAGCGGGTGTTTACGTTCGGGAGACCACTACAAGTGAATACCATGTTTGTAAAAGTGTGTTTCTGTTCTTTAGTATTCAAGTTTTCGCTCTTCGTACGCTGGTCACTTAAATGCACGATAAAGCTACTTGCTTGGCCCCAGCCAACTGAACGGAGGGAGGAAGCAGTGCGACCTGTAAGCCATGAATGCACTGAACCTTCCTGTGCATCTCCCCTGCAGTCTATTAATCGCCTAGTCCTGTCAAGTATCACCGCCAAGCGATCATCATATGATGCCGCAAGGCTAAGTACTCAACCTTGCCAAGGCTCGGACCTTCGCTAAGACCCGGGCCCAGACTCAGCGTAGGGTTACCGACCTATTACCGACAAGAAGCCTCGTCGAGCCCGGAACCCGTCAGGGAGAGAGTCAGGTGATTCTATATTGCATGTGATTAGAATATTATTTGGTTCAATTGTACGTACGGTATGGTATTGTTGTTATTACCTGCAGCAGCAATCAAAGAGGATACATTAGGCCTATTTATTGTATTATTGTACAGCGAAATTGCTTCTTTTTTTTTGTCTTATTTTCAAAATTTTTGTGATTTTAATGAACATTTCGTATTTCTTCAAGTGCTTCATATTTCATATAAAAATAAAGGCTACTAAAATTGTGTTAAAATATATTATAAAATATGCAAATGATGAATATGAAACAATTGGAAATGTCTAGAGGCGTTTCAACTTCAAACCAAATGAAAAGCGAAACTTTGAATAATAAAAAATGGAAATCACTTTTTTAAAGCAGCTCTAGGTGCCACCAGAACGCATAACTTTTACGTGTTTTTTTTTGTTTGTTTGTTTTTTTGGGGTTTTTTTTTTGCTAAAAATTGACCAAATTTTCACTTTTAAAAGTTTTAATTTCAGAATCGACAGATTACTGTATGTTTTGTTCATAATACCAACCTTACAGATTTGAAATGCGTGAGAACACCAGTCTGTTGGGAGGGGGATGGCAGGGCCCAGGGTCCAGAGGCAGAGCCATACGGATCTGAGCATTTTAAGCTGTTTTAAATTGATTTCAAGGAGAGTTTGTTGAC